CCACTCAGTACAATTGTTCTCCAGATAGGTCTTCTGGAACTTGGCTTCACCCACCGTCTCCCACTTGTGTTTGGTAATAACAGCTTTAGCGTTAGCCGCAGTCCAGGTAAGAGTGTCCACATCCAGACTGATGAAGTCTTCTCCGTCATAGCCGTACTGCCAGTATCCTCTTTTATTTCCAGTACCGTCCTGTTCACAGCCGTACATCATCTGAACTGTGTGAACCCCTGCAGAGACACAAGCAGAGTAAACAAAGAAATAAAGTATGACAGTAACAATTCATGTACTGAGTGCTTTTTACATGAGGAGCATTAAATGAAATTTCATATGGTCAAACTGTGAAAAGTACAAAGAGAATCCAGCCAAAGTTTATATGTTTATAAAGTTTAGAAATGATCTGGACACAAAACACCCTCCTCTCTGTACCTTAAACACTCTACAACTATAAAACTCTGCAGAAACATCTCAGAATCAACTCCATTAAAACATCAACACTAGAGTTCTTATAACAGTACAATCATGGCACACCCACCTTAAACACTAATAACTCTAAGCATTCAGATAGGTCCACTATTTTATAAAAAACTATTTTTGCAGTGAATTAAAAAACTCACTACATCAGAAAATCACTACAAAACTGTACTTACTGTATAGGAACAAATAGAAACCAACAACACTGGACTTCATATTAAAGCATCTGCATCATTTGGCCAGATGATCTCTCTTTACATATATGAATAAGCGCTTGCTGTTTATGTGCTGGGCTCATAATGGATTGTGCATTTTGAACAAAAAAGCTCCAGAGGAACCCCTTTTACAGATGGTCAGTAGCTGGGCTGGTCAGAGTATATTTTTAAGGTACATTTTTATATATTCACGGTTTAGATGTTATTGTAGAGCTGGTGTTCAGTGCTATAAGCTCTCAGTGTGTTTATACTCACCTTCAGTCTGATTAAAGCGCTTCATTAGAACACCCACATTGGCTTTGAAGACCTCCTGATTAGCCTGCAGACCCTGTGTCCCAGTGTTCTAGTACTCTGGATCATCATTATCAGTCTTCTTTATCCAGACTGTCTTTGGGATCAACTTCCTGATGTTACTATCATAGTAATCAATCTGCTTTCCATCCAGCAGACCGACAGCAGTGAACTCTGGGAAGTTTATTCCTGGTGTAACTGCAGTGTAGAAGTACTGCAGAGAGTGAGAGACTGAAACAGATAAAAAAAAAAATACTGAAACAGACCAACAGACGCTCTTTGAAACTGCATTTTTCATTGCCAAGTTCGCTTTTTCGAAACTCTTCACACCCCTCTCTGCAGAAACACACAGCTCAGAAGTTCATTTAATACTCAAAATTCTATACAGCCACAAAAGCACTGCAGAAACATCACAATCAACTCACTCCATCAGAACAACACTAGAGTTCTTATAACAGGAAGACTTTATCAAACACAGCACAAACAACCAAACATCGACAGTTGTTAACATTAAGGCAGATCCACTGTTCTATGTGAATCTATGAAGTTATGAAGAGTTATTTGCTCTGTAGTTTTGTTTCACATTGTTATTAGTCTTATCATATTGATCATGTGAACAACGCTGTAAAAAGTGGAACAGGGAGAAAATGAAAGAAGTGTTCTTGAAAGTTAAATGGATGAATAAGCATTTTGTTCATCTAAACTAACTTTTTTTGCTTTGCAGCGTTTCATTGATAATATTTATTTGAGTTAAATAAAAGCAGTTGGAAAATCACTGCTATATATATAGATATCACTACTGCTGAAACAAAACCTCAAATCTCCATTTTTCAGTTTTTCACATAATTTGAAAATGCCTGTTGTCCTTTTGTGTAAATTTCATGAAGAATGGACCAATAGAAATGGCCAAAATATACTTGGAAAAAAGTCTGGTTCCACTGAATTATATTACAAGTAAATGATGTTTTTTTTTCTTCTCCTGGAAAGTTGGAGATATCAGGTTTTGTTATGTGCTGGGCTCATGATGGACCGTTCACTGTGAACAGAATGACTCCAGAAGTGGCCCCATTTTATACATGAGTTGGCCTTCAGCTCAGCTGGTGATCAGCTGTGATTGGCCTGTTTACACACATTCAATCAGCAGTTTGTCTCCATAAACATTATCATTACTTGAGTTTTGATAGTCTGATATTCATGTTTAAGTAAATTGATATGCAGCTTATTTTCATGTTCAGTGTAACAGTGTAGGTGGGTGTTTGCAGTCTGAGCTACAGAAATACTCGGTTCTGTTAAAGACTGAGAAGAGATTTAAAGACCTTTGGAAACTGTGGTCACTGAATGCAATCTGCACTTAACAAGAGAAAACTGTTCATGGTTTGGTCCAAACAGAGTGCTGTTGTATGAACTGTGTGAAAAGTTTTGAAAAAGAGAACTGAAAACGTTTCTTAGCAGTGTTAAAAATATTGTAATTTACAAAATATTGTAAAACTTTTTGTCTAATAGAGTGAAACTCACTACTGAGGAAATTAGCAGGGTTGCCAGATAACTTTAATTCCTCTACTCAGTCCAGCTCAGACACTGACCATCTATAAAAAGGGGTCACTTCTAGAGATAGTTTGTTCACAATGGACAGTGCATTATGAGCAAAGCTCATGTTATTAACACATGTATAAACATGTATAAACAATATGAGGACATCAGGTGTGATGTGGAAGAGAACATGTGGCCCAATAATGTAGATCAGGTAGAGTCACATTTACAGTATCTGTGACCTTTTCTCTGCTAGATGATGTAAAGTGGAGGATTTTTAAGTTTTTATTACTTTGTTTGTTCCTATACAGCATACATATATCATTCTGTTTTTCTGATGTGAGGAGTTTTTTCATTCACTGTAGAAGAGTTTGCCAAATCACCCTAAAAATAGTTCAAGCAGTAGCAAACACTTAAACTGCTTTTATTCAACCCAAATTCTAAATTCTACTCAGTGCTCTTTGTTTGTTTTCTCTACAAGTCCTCACTATATAAATATGAACACAAGTAAGGTTTTTCACCAATGTGCCAACCCAATCAGGGTGTTATAAACACCAGCCTCCATGCAGCCACATTTAGGGAAGCAGTGCAGCATTACATGTTGGTAGGATCAGGTGAACTCTCCAGGTGGATTTCAGAACAAGCAAACAAAGTTGATTTAACAAAAGTCCCCCTCAAAGAACTCAGAGCAAGTTTAATCACAGTGAAACTCTTCCCATTTATGTTGGTGGTATGTAAATTGTTTGAATGTTTGGTGACTTGCTGTTCATTTTACAGCTGCTGATGCGCTCTCATAATGACCACTACCTGTGCTGCTGCCTTTGTCAGAGCAAATGAAGAGACTTCACTCCTCTTCCTCATCTCTGTGATCTGAGCAGAAGTTCAGAGATAACCACACCTGTAATACAGGTGTAATATGTAGTCAGTATTATTCTGTATATCTGTTGAGATGTGTCATCACATCGTAAATACATTTGATATTTTAAGGAGGACTGACTTAAATTTATAAACTGGAGTCTATTTTATCAGCTCCTCTTACCATGTAGGAAGACTTTGTAGTTCTACAATTACAGACTGTTGTCCGTCTGTTTCTCTGCATACTTTGTTACCCTGTTCTTCAATGGTCAGGACCTCCACAGAGCAGGTATTATTTGGGTGGTGGATCAATCTCAGCACTGCAGTGACACTGACGTGGTGATAGTGTGCTAGTGTGCGTTGCACTGATAGTTTCATGTGACATTTTGTTTCCTTTTTGAAAACTAAATGGATGTTATAACTGCAGAAGCTCTTGCAAACCCATTAACACCCATGACTTTGTTATGTGTGACCTTGTTAAAGCTAAAACATCTACAAAATTGTGGTTTGGTAGAGCCACTAGGTGTCGCTCTATGACTGGGTTTTTGAAAGGCCTATAGAGCAAAGTGACCACCTACATGACTTGTACTGGCACCACAATGCTTCATTTTCATGTTAGTGTTTCATGTTTCATGTTTCACTGATATTTCCTTGTTTGGGTGACCAGACATCTTGAACTTGTCAACTTTTTCACTGTTCATGAGTTTGCATGTCTCAAAGTGGTACCTTATAGAATGGAAAATAATAGAATTCACAACCATTGGTCAACTGTGTTTGCACACAGAGGAATTAGACCTCTGCGTTTAACCCATCCGTGCAGTGAAACACCCACATACATGCACACTAGTGAACACACACACTGGAGGGCAGTGAGCACACCTGCCCAGGGTGGTGGGCAGCCCTATCCATGGCTCCCGGGGAGCAGTGGGGTGCCTTGCTTAGGGGCACTTCGGGCGTATGCTGTCGGCTCAGGAGATCCAGCCGACGACCTTCCGGTCACAAACTCTTTCCCTAACCTCCAGCCCACGACTGTCCCCTCAGTCTCATGAGCTCTATTAATATTGTCTCTGTTAATAGTGTGTTTAATGCATAATAAAGCTCTTGATAACAAATATATTTAGAGATATTATAAGATAATTATGGAGCTCTTTGGGTTTGAAAAGAAATATTTGGCCCCTGAACAAAAACTATGGCCCTCTTATTGCCTCACCTAAAAAAATCCTAGAATTGCCACTGCAGTCAGTGGTAGCAGAAATGTAAACAAGTAGGCAATTATAAGTAGACTTCTCTGCACTCAATTCACTGTTTCTTTATTTTATTTACATATTTACATCTTTACATATTTACTTATAAACATTTACATATACAATAATTTCACTGAATCACTGAATGAATAAAAAAGAATAAATATTTTATCTCATCTGTCTGGTTCAGATAAGTGTGATATACAGTTATATGCAAAAGTTTGAACACCCCTGCTCAAATGGCATGTTTTGTTGATTCTCTAAGTTAAAAAGAAGGCAACACACTCTACAGAGAACACACTTAAAATGACATTTTTATACAACTTTTATTACGTGATTGCTGTTTATTTGCTGATTTTATCATAAAACATAAAATATAAAACATATCATAACTTTTGCACAGGCCACATTTTATGCTTTACATAGCTGTATAGGCACTTTTGCATACAACTGTATAGAAATATACAAATGTCGTTATCATTGAAATCCTTCATTGCAGTTCTAAAGTACTGAAATGACTCTGACTCTCAAGCAGTGCATGGTTAATGAAGTACAGCGTGATACAGATCATACAGCTGTGTTTCATCAGTGTGGTATATAATCACAGATCTTCATTCGGATGCAGTGCTGGAGATGGTTGATGAGGAGCCTCGGTCAGATTCTACTGCTAAAAAAATATGAATATACATCAGTTTGACGCTCTGAGACATTAAAGAGCTTTAAATAATTCACGATGAGAGCAAAAATGTAAAATCACTGAATTACCTGAACCAGGACTGACAGGTCTGAAACCTGAAATAGAGATCAGTGATTATCATCTTGTATGTTACATGTATGTTACATTAGAACGGAAATATGTGCTTTAAAATGTATGTAATTAAAATAATACGAACTATCCTCATTACTGAACAAGTGTTGTGTTCTTGAGGCTGAAGCTTAATATGTACATCTATCCTCACTTACCAGACTTTTGATTCTTCTTCTTCTTCCAAAAGAACAATCCAACAGACCCAATGAAGGCCAGCAGGAGAACAAACACAACTGCACCAACAATGGCACCAACCATATCTCCATCTGAAACAGATGTGCCGTACATCAGAACATCTTTAATCTGACACACCAATAAATACATGTTGAAGTTGAAATACAGTAACTTTCCTTCATTGAAATATTCCCTCACCTTGCAGGACTCTACGTTCAGTCACTGGAAGCACCATCTTCTTGTCCAGGCTGCTGTGCTGAATGATGCAGGTGTAGTGGTGTTTATTCAGCTCCTCAGGTGAGACAATCAAAACGCTCCTCTTCTGGAAGGTTCCATCCTGGTTGGGCAGCATCTCTCTGAGCTCCACATCCTCATGCAGATCCTCTCCATTCTTCTGCCAGGAGATCATCATTGCTTTGGGGTAGAATCCTGTAGCATGACACACCACTGGAGAAGAAGAGTCCTTCTGGAACAGAGACACCTCAGGAGAGACTGGAGAGAGAGAAAAATGGACCGCATTCATAAAACACACCACCAGGAAAAAGTGTGGCAGTAACGTTTGCTCATTCATAAACACTTTTCTTGATTTAAATATGACAGTATTGATTTGTAACATGTCGCCTCACAGCAAGAATGGCCTGGGTTTGATTCCCGGCCGGGCGACCAGGGTCATTTCTGTGTGGAGTTTGCCTGTTCTCCCCGTGTCTGTGTGGGTTTCCTCCGGGTACTCCGGTTTCCCCCCACAGTCCAAAAACATGCAGTCAGGCTGATTGGACACACTAAATTGCCCCTAGGTGTGAGTGTGTGTGTGTGACTCTGTATGTCTGTCTGTCTGCCCTGCGATGGACTGGCGACCTGTCCAGGGTGTATCCTGCCTTCCGCCCAATGACAGCTGGGATAGGCTCCAGCACCCCACCGCGACCCAGAAGGATAAGCGGTTTAGATGATGTATGTATGTATGTATGTATGATTCGTACACAACACAGTCCCACAAAAACATAACACCTAAACTGCTCTGATGGTAATCTGACTGTGAGAAGCTGATGTGGACTTATGCACATTCACCCACTCAGCTGATTAACCAACACATTTAAAAGACACATTTTGGTCTGTTTGGATGGAGCAGCACCGCAAACCTTCTAACTGCTGTTGTAGAAGGACAAAGGGAGGTTTTCACATTGCCACAAACGTTTGTTTTGAGAAATGCGAATTCAGGTGTTACAGATGAAGGTATGCTTAATAGATTCATCTCACACGTTCAACTTAAAACAGCATCACATTCAGTGTGTGGTGAATCTTCCTCCCTGAGTGTTTGAAGGAGGTTTAGCTTGTAATCCAAATGAGTGAAGAGGAATTTGGCCTTCTAATTACATGTTTGACTAATTCACTTTGGGTTTGGGTGTCAATTTGCAATGAATTATGAAGGAATTGAATTTACAAATGGCTTTTTATTATTAAAAAAAATAGACAAAACTGCCAAGTTTTATTAGTCTGGCCCACATGTGTCTGACCAAAGATGGGGACAACACAGAACAAAAGCGATGCATTATGCCATTTCTTTTTACTAAAAGAGTTCTCATATTCTCAATGAAAAATATGTATTTTGAAAATGCAATGCTAATACAGTATTTTAGTACTTGCTACTCTAATAGTACAGTATATGCACATGATTATTGCTGATTGATGATTGATGTGATTCTTTATGTGTCACTCAGGGCCGTGTTTACAAATGAAGAAAGACTACGACGCCATTGCTGAGCAGCATATACTCTTATTTTTAAGAATGCCCCACTGCAGCCTACTACGATCCTCATGTCAAGACCTTCAGCGTGATGACTAACGTAGGCCATGCATATTGACTGGCTACAGACTAAAGGTAGCTCAGAATGTTACATGCCTCTGAGGGAACACCTACATCAGCATAAACAATAATATGATATAGTATGCAATCTTTCCACTTTCCTAGTTTCTCTGAATTTAAATAATATGTAATACAGCCTTTTATTCATACTTTTTGAAGGGTTTTGGAGCTCTGCAGTTACAGTAACAGATCAGATCACTGTACCTTTCCTCTTCAGAGTGGATCTGCCATATTCCACATACTTCTTTAACCAGCTGATACATTCATTCTGCAGGTAGGCTGTGTGGAACCCAGCTGCACCTGCCCTCTCCCACTTGTATTTGGTAATGAGAGCTTTAGGACTGGCCGCAGTCCAGGTGACAGTGTTCAGATCCAGACTGAGGAAGTCTTCTCCATCATAACTGTACTGCCTGTATCCTCTTGTGGTTCCATCATGATGCAGCTCACAGCCGTACATCAACTGTACTGTGTGAACTCCTGCAGACACACATACACACAAACACACACACACTCACATGCACACACACACACACACACACACAAGAAGACTATAAATGATACAGGAAATACAACCATCTCTTTATCTCTGACTGAACTGTTCAACACTCCACATCAGGGGTGCTCAGTCCTGGTCCTGGAGGTCTACCATCCTGTAGAGTTTTGCTCCAACCCTAATCTAATGCACCTGATCCAGGTAATAAATGTTTGAGTGTATTCGTTCTCACCTTCGGTGTGGTTGAAGCGCTTCATTAGAACATCCACATTGAATTTGAAGCTCTTCTGATTATCCTGTGATTTCTGAGTCTCTCTGTTCCAGTGCTCAGGATCATCTGCTTCAATCTTCTTTATCCACTCATTCCTCTGGATCATCTTCCTGATGTTACTGTCATAGTACACAATCTGCTCTCCATCTACCAGACCAACAATAGTGAACTCTGGGAAATTTACTCCTGATGTGACTCCAATGTAGAAGTAGTGCAGAGAGTGGGAGGCTGAAAAAGATGAAAAAGCCAAACTTTGTGAGAGAATTGTCAAACAGTTCAAATAAAGAACATTTCTCAATGCAAGGCTGCAAAGAATTTCTGTCTTTCACCGTCTACCGTACATCGTATTGGGAAAAGATTCAGGGAAACCAGAGAAATCTCAATCTGTGTAAGGCAAGGCTGGAAACCACTGTTGAATTTGTATGACGTTCGAGCCCTCAGCTGGCATTGCATGAGGAACTGCCATGTTACTGTGTTAAATATAGCCACATGGGCTCAGGACTACACTGAAAAACTGTTGTCACTTAACTCTGCCACTCCATCAAGAAATGCAACTTGAAACTCTATTACAAGGAGAAAGCCATTCATCAGTTCTATGCAGAAACACCGCTGAGTTCTCTGGGCCCGAGCTCATCTCAGATGGTCCGAAAGACAGTGGAAATGTGTGCTGTGGTATTTGGATGGTGGATCATTCTCAGCACTGCAGTGACACATAGTGGTGGTGTGTTAGTGTGTGTTGCGCTGGTCTGAGTGGATCAGACCGAGCTGTGCTGCTGGATTTTTTAAACACTTCATTGTCACTGCCGGACTGAGAACCAACCCAAAATATCCAGTCAGCAGCGTGCATATGTGTCTAACACACCACCACCACATCAGTGTCACTGCAGTGCTGCAAATGATCCACTACCCAAATAATACCTGCTCTATGGCTGGTCCCATGGAGGTCCTGACCATTAAAGAACAGGGTAAAAGGGGGCTAACAAAGTATGCAGAGAAACAGATGGACTACAGTCTGTAATTGTAGAACAACAAAGTGCACCTATATGGTAAGTGGAGCTGATAAAATGGACAATGATGTATGGACAATGTAAAAATAAGGAGGTGTTCCTAATAAAGTGCTTAGTAATTTTAAATATTAATGAAGTTTATTAATATTTCCAGGTAAATTTCACCTAGTGGAGCTTTAGGGGAGATTAACTGGAGGTGATTATGTCGTATTACGTAGTGATTGTATCGTGATTATGTAGCGATAATATGGTGATTATATAATAATTGTATAGTGGTTATGTGGTGATTATATAGTGATCACATGGTGATTATGTATTGAATATATAGTGATTATATAGTAATTATATAGTAATTATGTAGATATTATATAGTGAAAGATTTGGCTTTTCCAACAAAGTAATTTTCTTCTTGTGAAAAAAATTAAATTAATTTTAAATAAAATTATCTTACATTGTTATCAATTAAACTACTGATGTTAAGTTAATTCATTGAATGAGCATTTTATAAAAAGCGTTCTTTGTTTTATAAGTACCACTGTGATTTTAGATATGCAGTGATTGCAAATCAAATGAAAAAATAATATTTTTGATTTTGCAGTAAATGACATCATTGCTAACTGTCATAAATTCATACACAAGTTTATGAGAGTGAAAGTTTAAAGTCCAGCTCTGTAAGACAGCTGATCACACAGATAATATTGAATACTTGACCAAATTTTCACCTGCTGATGTCAGATAAATGTTAACCGAGAGGAGAAGCAGGTATTTCAGTACCGGCGTACAGTGATCCATTTTCAGCAGAGCAGAACTTTAGAACTGTTCTTTTATAGAACTGTTTATTCCTTCATGCGTTTACTGCTTCCTTGTACAGGCAGAACCCAGGAGCACCTGAAGGAGTGGCTGGGTTGCCAGATGAATTTAACATTCATCTTAAACATCCACATTTTGTATATGTACATAACAGACTAGAACAGAAAGATATCAGAACATATAAGAGCCACAAGATTTCTGACAGAGCAACATGTGAGATGAGCCACCTGCTGTATGGCTGTATTTTGAGGTGGGTGCAGCTTTATCATCTCTTAAAAACTGATTTGCTTAAGCTGAGCCATTTTATGGCAACCCTGCCTACAGCTTTAAACACCAGCCTCTATCCAATCACATTCAGGATCAAAAGTCACTAAGATCAAATGAGCTCTCCTGGGTGATTACAGATCTAAAGATCGGTTCTGTGGCAGCTGATTGTACAAAACTCTAACAAGATAATAATAATAATAATAAAAATAATAATAATAATAATAATAATAAAATAACTAAATAAAAATAAAATAACAACAAGTCACAATAACAACACAATACAGTATATCATTGTTGTCATTAATAACTCTGTTAGAGCTGTTAGAGATGGATATATATATATATATATATATATATATATATATATATATATATATATATATATATATGGATATATATATATATGACCTACACCACCATCTGCTGGATAAAATGACATACTACTACTGCTACTACTACTTCTGCTACTACTGCTACTACTACTAATGCAAAAATTCTTCTACTAATAATTATAACAATAACAAAAATAATAACAACACAATACAGTATATGATTAGGACAACAATAAACACTGCTGTTGTTGTCATTTATGACAGAACAGAAATAAAAGATTAACAGGACGAATCTAAAGGAAATGACTTGTGTGCAGAATTTCACAACTGACTGTAGACCCTGTTAGAGCTGTTAGAGATGGATATATATTATATATATTTATTTTATATATATTAATGTTGTTTTTAAAAAGACCATTTTGTTTCTTTTAAAGTGAATTTGAAGGATTTTCATAAGTTTAATTTTTTAACAATAAAATTAAGTGACCATCCTGGCCTATTCTTCTGGACTTCTTTTCCCAGCTTAGAACTGTATAAAATCAATACATTGTGCTTAAAACTACCTGATTATTGGTGGTCTGTATGTCTGGAATAGTTCTGCAAAGTCAAAACCCCCTTCTTTCTTTCTTAAAACCAGCTTCTTAGTGCAAAAGCTTATCAATAAATGACTGACAGACAAAAACACTGCTGTGAAACATCTGACAGATCAGGTAAATTAATTAGAGCCTGATTTCATGGGTTTTACTGCGTTAGTGTTTGATCACGTAACCTAAATACCCTGTTTTTACACATGATAATGGAAATAGACTTTATAAAACAATCAGATATACTAAGCTGCTTTTGTGAAACTTTTCATGGATTCTGATGTCTTTATTTTAAAATAACCATACTAAACATCTGTAGAAACATCTGTATTTCACTTACTTTCACTTTCCTCACTCACAGTTCACACAAACTACTGACACTCTAAATCAGGACTGTGAAGTTTAACACACCACTGTTTGCAGGTGTATGTTACTGTATTATGGAGTTATAGCTGGCTATATAAACTAACCATTGCGGTCAATTATCCAGGCAGCCATGGTCAGACTCAGTCTGCAGGAGCTGGGACAGAGATATGAAATCCAACTTTGCAGTTTCACTTTCGAGTTCAACTCCCCCTTTGGCTCTCCGCTTAGCAGTTATTGGCCAGAGCTCCACACTGCCTCTCAGATTTCTACTGTGTATAAACTCTCCTGCACTCCTGCTGAGTCTCCAGAGCAGAAAGCCGAAAGATCTCCAAGAGGCTGAAGACGTCAACTGATCATTTTGTCCAGTTTAAGGAGTTCATTTCGCTCATTATGGTTCCAGTCTGCAGTGAGAGATGGGACACATCATGAAGTCCCTGCTGCTCCTCATCTTCACTCTTCATGTCTCTTCAGCAGGTCAGTCTAAAGGCTAACGCAGCACTCCAACAGTTTCCCTGCTTGGAAATTACATTCATTGTATTATAAGTGGGAAGCTCTGGGTTTAATGCTGTACATATGACAGATAACAGAGTGTATTCATACAGACTGGGCTTTAAAGTGGGAGAGTAAGAGCTGGGAATTGTGCCATTTTCCACATTTGCTACAAAGTGGAAAAACACAGATGACTCCATGAAATGATGTATAGTTGGCAACAAACTGTCCTGCTAACAATAGTGATATGAGCAGTGTTAAAGATTTAAGCAGTTACTGAAAAACACTGAAAAATGTTGTTTTAAGTGTACTTGATTCAGATGCGTACACTGATTCCCCCTGAATGAAGTATATTACATCAACACTGTTAGTAAAAATGTTACTGTGCAGGTCCAGTTTTGTTCATCAAGATACAAATAGTGTAAATGTACTCTCTAAGGTACAACAGTGGTGTTAAGGTCCTATTATTTACAAACTGTTGTTTTAAGACAGAACAATAAAATTAAAATGCTGGAGTCAGGACAGGGTGTACAGAATAGTAGTACATTTTAAAAATATAAATGCAACGAATTTCGGTACAATTACATGTGTCAAAATATTGAGATATGGATTATGACAATGTCTTTAAGTATTATGTGAAATATTTTCGCCCAGTAACTGATATTTTCCATATTGTTCACCCCTGTGGTCAGTATCCAAAATGCAACAAAATGTGCTGTCTGTGTTGCAATGGTTCCTCTTCTCTTAAGCCCAGAGGATGCGGCATCCATGATTTCCAAAATGAATTTCAAATGTTGATTCATCAGACCACAGGACACTTCGCCACTTCGCCTCTCCATCTTGAACTCCAAATGAACTCAGGCCCAGAGAAGGCGGCGGCGTTTCTGGATCCTGTTTATTTATGGTTTCTTCTTTGCATGGTAGAGTTTTAACTTGCATTTGTGGATGCAGCGACAAACTGTTTTCACAGACAGAGTTTTTTTCAGAAATGTTCCTGAGCCCATGCAGCAATGTCCATTACAGAATCATATCTGTTTTTAATGCAGTGCTGCTTGAGTGCCTGGAAATCACAGCCATCCACCGTTGGTTTTCAGTCTTGTCCCTTCTGTACAGAGATTTCTAATGATTCTTCTGCATCTTTTAACAAAATTATGTACCATAGATGATGAAATGAATGTTCTTTGCTGTTTTATGTTGAGAAACTTTATTCTTGAATTGTTGCACTATTTGCCCATGCAGTCATTCAGAAGTAAAGATGGGGAGGGGTTCACCACTCTGTGAAAGACTGTTTTATACCCAATCATGTCACGAACATGTTGCCAAATAACCTAATTAGTTGTCAGATATTCCACCAGATGTTTTTTTTAGCATTACACAACTTTATCAGTCTGTTTTTCTCACCGTCCCAACTTTTATTTGCTGGTATCAAATTAAAAAACAATAAAATTTCTCAGTTTTAACATTTTATTTTATGTACATTGTGCACAGTGTCCCAACGTTTTTGGAAACAGGGTTAATAGTAATAGTGAACCTTCAAGTGTGGGGTGTGGGGTTTGAAGGGATGTCATGTACTGACAACTGTATCTCCCTCACTTTTATAATAGCTGCTACATCCCCTATAGTTATTTACGAAAAGTTGCAGAGGAGAGAGTGTGCAGTCTTGAACAGCAGCAAAACTAGGCTTGCCTAGACTTGTTTGTCAATTGTTCCTCATGGCTACACATAGCAGTAGTTGCTCACTTTCCCTCAGGGAAGGAATGTGGTAGGGAAAGTGTAAGATCAATAAGAAAGCAGCAGTTAGAAAACGCTAAACTGGCTTTACTTGTACCTTATTACAATTATTACAATTCCATTCTCATAATGATCATAACCTACATACTCATAATGATCATTGATTTAAAAACTACAAAACTCAAAAAAGAACCAGAATACCATAAAAAAGGTATGAAATGTTTACCTTGACTCTTGCTTTCTCTTCATAGACTGCGAGATCATGATAGTGGTGATAATAACTTGGCCACTGATGTTGGTTAAACATTGGCAAAACATGCATGACTGCTCAAACTAACCAGCTAACAGTGCAAGAAGCAAAACCTGTGAGCAGTCAAACAACACACTGTATGGAACTAACAAAAACTCAGCCTAGCTGTCTTATCTGGGATCTGTTAGATTTGTCTAAATCCAATGTTTTGTTTTTTCCCCCCATCGGCTTACATGCACATGCAAGCATGCAAGCACAAGAAACTTGTTCCCAACACAACATAGTCACATGTAAATTCCTGTCAATATGCAGTGCTGTTTGCTGAACCAGTCACATACACACCTTATAGCTGCAACCTTTTCACCTCTAAAAGCTCCCTCACAAGTTATTACATGAAATGGTTATGGAGACACTGCCTGATGTCTGAGAAATTGTTTCAAAATAGTTTTGAGATTTTGTTTTGAATTTTTTCTTTTATATACATTCAAGGTGGAGGTATAAAAGCAGGGCGTTAAATAGGAATAAATAGGACAAGACTTGCAACTATTTTAGCATCATGAACAGCCCATATAAAAATTCAGAACAGTGCAGGTTCAATGGCCATTTTGGATAGTAAATAAAATGATTTACTTTGCATAGCAAAGAAAAAAGAGTGAATAGGTTTCTCTCCAATTTAATGTCTAGACAAGAGAATTTTGTATAAACTATTAGTAAGCATTACAGTATTAGAGAAGAAATGATGCAAGCTATTAATTTTTATTTATTTATTTATTTTGTCCAGGAAGCTTATTTTAACATAAATACTTTATTCAAGAGATTTGTTTTAAGAACTACTTAAATGACCCAATTCTAGTTCAGCATACCAGCCTCTATGCAGCTTGGTTGGAACATCCAAAAACATGCTTCCAAAAAACAAACACCTAAATATGCGTTTATAGTGGTTAGTTTGCTTCCATTATGGTGCTGCAATGTCCTTATACAACCAATGCTATGAAAAAGAAACATTATGAACAAAAAAGCCTAACATTTGTGCCCTGGGCCTGTAACTTAATGATCCAGGCCTGCATGATATCGCTAAACATATCATATTGCTCAACTCTAAATGACTATTAGTATCTAATGACTGATAATGATAAAGATTTCAGTAGTTAAATATTGGTACGAATCACTGTTAGAGCTACACTTTCAGGATAAAAGGTACTAAACTGTCACTGGGGTGGAAACTTAAGGGGAACATTTTTAGTACCTTTAGTTAGGGAACATGATAGTAGCATATTCAGTTTTAATTAATTTTTATAAAGTCGCACTGACTCCACACACACCATCCTGACTCCGGCCTTTTTACAAACCCCATTTCCGGAAAAATTGGGACATTTTATAAAATGCAGTAAAAGCAAGAATCTGTAAATTGTTAATTCTATTGAACTTTTATTTAACTGACAAATGTACAAAGAAAAGATTCCCAACTTTTCCAGAAATAGTGTTTGTATTTTATTGCGCTGTTTTAAAACATTTGGTTGTGAAATGGTACAAATACACACCTTTTCTCTAGGAAAAAGTGATTTAAGGTACACAGTAGGAAATGAAGAACCATGTTGTGTCTTTGAGAGTTCATTTACACTGGTCTGTATTCAAGAAACATCACACAGTAGGAGCTGAAATGGATCATATTCCTCTCTTATCTCCATTGATGTTTTTTAACTGGAACAGATCCTAGATCAGCTCCTGCTCTGAGAAGTTTCATGAATACGGGCCATTGTTTGTACCTGGATGAACAAAAATGTATCTGAACTGTACCTTTTTTCTGACAGTATAGTAATAGATATAGAGTCCAGTTTAAGTAAGTAAGTAAGTAAGTAAATCTCACATACCCTTTTTTCAGTCCTACAGGAAAGAAATATTTTCAATAAAAAATAGATGTAAAATAAAAAAGTAGTGAAGAGGTACATCCTTTTTAGTTGTCTAGCTAGCTAGCTGCTATTCCCTGCATTTGTTTCCATGTGCAGGCAAGCGAGTTGCCCATTCAGAGCAGAAAGAAACGTATTAAATCTGCATTGGGCTTTAAGATAGACATGTGTTTAGGACACACTGTGGTAAAAAGGCATTTTTGCAGCTTAAAAACATGTAGAATCCATACAGAATCTAAAACATTTGTGCAGAAGTGACCAAAAAGCTCTTTTGAGCTGGTTTAAAGGACACAGTTTTTCTCCTGCATCACTCATCAGTGACCCATTTAAACAGCAACCACGTCCCCCCAGATTAGCATTTTGTGCTGCTTGATATGACAATAATCAGTATTTTTTGTTAACTTGTTTCACTAAAAAGCACAAATATACACACACAAATCACCTAAGCCGCTTATGTGTCTGGGTCATGGGGGGGTGCTGGAGACTATCCCAGCGATCATTGGGCGGAAGGCAGGAAACACCCTAGACAGGTCGCCAGTCCATCACAGGGCAGACACACAGATGTACACAGTCACACACACACACACTCACACCTAGGGGCCAATTTAGCATCTCCAATTGGCCTGACTGTATTTTTGAGCTGTGGGAGGAAACCGGAGCACCCAGAGAACATGCAAACCCCACACAGAGAGGACCCTTGTCGCCTGGCCAGGGAATTGAACCCAGACCCTTCTTATAAAAGTGCTTATTTCAATTAGCCTCACTTAATGTTGCCAAACAGTTCACTCCAGGCTCAGTGTGTTCCACTAACAAAATCCAAGTGAGATCTGTTTCTGCTGAGTCAGGCAGCAATTCAGTAAAATGAACGCTTCATTTAAACAGCCCAGATAGTCGAGCTCAGATACAGCGATTTATCAGCTAAATCAAAGCACTCAAAAGAAAGAAATTCCAGAGAAAAGTCTTCCAATTGTGGCAAATGTCCTGACTCTTCTGATCCTCCTGGTGTTACATACTCAGAATCTGTAAATGCTGTTAATAATAATAATAATTATTATTATTATTGAAAAACAATCTTCCCCAGAGGCCTTGTAATGTTCAGCAGTACAAATTAGAGTGGCTGTGTAAACACAATTCTTTCATGTTTACAGCACACTTCAGTGATACTCCATGGCAGTAGTTGGAAATAACTTTTTGTCAAGAGAGTCATCAATGGAATTTGCTGCATTAAAAGCACTTTTCCTCTGTTCAAACTCGCAGGAGCAGAACTACTGCAAAGTCTTTGTGTGCTCTTTTTACACCATGACTATTCATGCAATGAAATGATAAAATCACAAACCTGCCCATAATGATTCATATTTAAAAGTTAAAATAGCATTTGAGCTTCTGCGTATCCAGACACTGTAAACAGAAAACAACAGTTATTTGGTCAGTTAACTCAAAATTTTATGGCAGCATGGTAGCTAACTTTTTTTGATTTATGGTTGTAGTTATCTGAGTAGTAATTTAAATGATAGTTTCTTTATCTTTACAGCCTCTCACTCTCTGGACTACTTCTTCACTGGAGTCACACCAGGAACCAGCTTCCCAGAGTTCACTGCTGTCGGTCAGTTGGATGGACTTCAAGGAGGGTATTATGACAGTAACAGCAGGGAAGTGATCCTAACGGGAGAGTGGATAAAGAACAACACGGATGAAGAGCACTGGAATGAGGTAACACAGAGGTCCCGTCGTTATCAGGAGGACTTCAAATTCAGTTTAGCTGCAGCAATGAGGCTCTTCAATCACACTGAAGGTATGTGTGTGCATACACAATGCATGTGTGCTCATATACAGCACTATGTAAAAGTTAGGCAGAAAAATAATGCCAGCAGTGAAACATGGTGGTGGTAGCATGGTGGTATGATCCTTTATTAAGTAAAGCTGTGATAGATTTGCAGAAGATGTAACAGGACTCATGTCTTCTAGAAAGTTTCACGTTCCACAGAACAACGTTCCCGAAAGGCTTGGGGGTCAACAAGGTGTTTTTTGGCAAATATAGGACAAGCCTTTATGTTCCTTTGGGTTAGTGGAATAAATGTTAACCTTATCTGAGGTGAGCAAGGTCTAAAGTTCCTTAGATGTTCATCAGGATTCTTCTGTGACTTCCACGATGAGTTGTCACTGTGCTCTTGGAGGAGTTTTTGTAAGCCATTGTGAAATAAAATGATGTTGAGAAATTTCATTCGTTCATTTTGGCCGCAGTATCAACAGAAAGCAGGACATACATGACCAAAACAACTGTGGGAAAATCCCAGTATATGTAATATGGCTGCAGTCCTACAGCCAGAAAAACAACACTCTTGAACTCAGAGGCATAGAAAATGTACAAAATTAATATCACAAATATAACAAAATTAATACCCAGTTCTACAAAAACTGCAGCACCAAAAAAATATAACTATGAAAATACACTTTTTTTCTTGTGCTGCTGATGTTTCAATGAATATTGAGAGGAACAACACAGTGTGATGCGCTCATATTTGTCTCTGCAGGGATTCACACGTGGCAGTGGACGTGCGGCTGTGAGCTTCATGATGGTGGAACCAAAAGAGGATACAGCCAATATGGTTATGATGGAGAAGACTTCCTCAGTCTGGATCTGAACACTGTCACCTGGACTGCAGCTACCAATGAAGCTGTTATTATAAAACAGGACTGGGGGTCACCTAAAGCTTTAAACCATAAGATCTTTCTGGGGAACACCTGTATTGAGTGGTTACAGAAGTATGTGGTTTATGGCAGAGCCACTCTGGAGCGGAGAGGTAAAGTGTGTGAGCTGATCTGTTACTGTGCTGATCTTAGCTGTACTGGGCCATAAGCAAAATTTAAACACAACTTAAACCACATATCTGCATCCTCCACCACCCTTCCCCTTAATTCCCTTTATGACAATCATCTGCTGCTTTAGTCCTCATCAGCAGTGAACCTGAGCAACACCAGTGAAATATAATAAACTGCTAATATCTGTTATAATGTCCCAGTTTAATAATATTGTTTACCCCATCTCTCTCTCACTCTCTCTCTCTCTCTCTCTCTCTCTCTCTCTCCAGTCTCTCCTGAGGTGTCTCTGTTCCAGAAGAATTCTTCTTCTCCAGTGGTGTGTCACGCTACAGGTTTCTTCCCCAAAGCAGTTAAAATCTCCTGGCAGAGGAATGGAGAGGATCTGCTTGAGGACGTGGAGCTCAGAGAGACGCTACCCAACCAGGATGGAACCTTTCAGAGGAGGAGCGTTCTGACTGTCTCACCTGAGGAGCTGGACAAACACCACTACACCTGCATCATTCAGCACAGCAGCCTGGAGCAGGAGATACCTGTAAGACCTGTGCTACCTGTGATGAATCCCAAAGGTAAGAGAAATAAGATATATTTCTGTTGTGAAAGTCATTGATGAGCCCAATTATGATAATAATCATGATCTTTAACCAATTTAGTTTCAGATGGAGTCTTTATTGGTATCATCATCGGTGCATTGGTGACTGTTCTCCTCGTTATCATCGGTGTTGGAGTTCTTGTATGGATGAAGTAGAAGAAGCCTGGCAAAAGAAGAAAATAAACATGTGCCGACATTTTATTGGCATGTGCCCAGGGGCCTGAGCCACTAGAGGGGGCCCGCAAGCTAAACAGATGTTTTAACTCGTGGTGTGAACTTTACAAGCAGAACAACAAAAAAAAGGAAGCGTTTTCAACCTTATGGTCAATCATAATCCTGATGCTTATCTCTAAAAGTCTGCTTCATTTTCTCCTCCAATCACAATTAGCAACCGTTCCACTATCCTCCATTGCCTCGGTCAAGCTTTCAGGGATTTACATTGTTTTTTTAACATTGAGCCAGTGTTCCTTTGAATGCACTGTGAATGTAAATAGGGGCCCACCAAATATTTATGCCCAGGGGCCGAAAACATGATGATCTGGGTCTAAGCTGTTTACTGCATTTATACAGTATACTGTATAAATATATACAATACTTTATGAATATTAAAATGTAATTTTTGTGTAATTTTGATGTATTTTTGTATTCTACATCATTAGCTTTTTAACCCCCCCGCAGATGTTTGGAAATCCCCATATGTGTAAGTGAATGTTTATGGATCTTACGTCATACTAAAAACAAATTATTTAGTTGCTTTGTTTAATCAAATCATTGCCCACCAACTTATACAGAATTTAATAAGAGGCTTCACGCTGAATTAAGATAATAAAATACATAACATAATAATAATAATAATAATATAATAATGATGATATAAAATTATAATCATATCAATACATTTTGTACACTAATGACCTTTTTTTGTGTTTGTATTTCTAGGACAGAGATGAAGAAGCAGATGATGAATGATTCTGAATTGATTCTGAATGAAGAGTTGATTCAGAGTCAACCAGTGCTTATAATACACAAACATCTTTCTTCATTAACTTTTAATTTGGAAACTATTTCTCTTTTTGGTTTGATTTTTCTGTTTTTGCTTTTGGTACCATGGCCATTGGGAAAGTGTCATTGAAGCAGCTTCAGACTTTTATTCTGTAGTGTCTCGAAACTACATCACATTCTGATATTTGTTGAATTAAATATGATGCATTTGTTTGTGTATTCCCAAACTTGCCTTATTAAAACACTCTGAAACTCATCACTGCACTGCGTTATGCTCAGTTTCAGATTGGACTTCCTTTAGGTCAGACTCTCTGGAAATAAGTTGAAGTTTAAGGAATTCATTTTCTTTTCAGTTTATGTTCATGGAACTGAAGCCCAAGTTTAGAGTAGAAACTCTTCTATTTCTTCCTTGTCACTGTAGTCCTTTCACTGAACTGAATCACAATAGACATAGAGGTGCAGCCCATTTAGAGTGATACATGAGGCAATGATTAATATTCATAATGGATATTCCAGTTTTTTCGTAAACTTTTAATGTTGTTTATACTAAGAGCCAAATACAGTCATTAAATCACAAAGCTCTTTGTCATTAACAATGTTCAGTGTAAACATTTGCTCTATAAGAAGTAGAGATGCATTGATACTGATACTGGTATCAGGTATTGGCCTGCTACAGCACTTATTTACTTGACTCTTGATCATAAAAACACACTGATACCAACTTCTAATACCAGCTGATACTATGTGATGTAAGTGTAGTGTCACTGCTGGGCTACTAAAGAACGACTCAAGCTGGCAGTGGACGAGGGTCTACTCTCAGAACAAAGTATTACTGACTCTGTGGCTGAAACACAAACTTGCTGGTCACTTGTATTCCGCCTGGTATGTGCTCTCCAGACACACGATTCTAGCTCGTTGCTAAACACACACAAACACAACCTCTTCAATAACCATATTTATTGCTTTATTTATTTTATTTTGAACAGCTGATGTAAATTCCTTTTTTTTTTTATTTCTTTTGTTTTATTTTTTTTTCTTTTTTATACATTGCCATGAAGAAGTGTTTGTCCCTCACCTGATTTCGTCTATTTTTGCAAAACCTATATCACCCATGTGAAAAAGTAAATGCTCCCTAAACCCTTGGCTGTAACAACTGCAATCAAACATTTGTGATAACTTGCGATGAATCTTGTGTCACGCTTTTTTGTATAGTTGTTTAAATTCAGCTACATCGGATGGTTTTCAAGCCTGAAATGCCTGTTTAAGGTCTTGCCACAGTGTCTCAATGGGATTTAGGTCAGCACTTTGACTCAGCCAATCGAAAACCTTAATTTTGTTTCTTTTGAGCCATTCAGAGGTGGACCTGCTTTTGCGCTTTCAATCATTGCTGCATAACCCAAATATACTTGAGCTTTAGGTCACAAATTGACTAGCAGACATTCTCCTTCAGGATTTTCTGATAGACAGTAGAATTCATGGTTCCATCAGTTATGACAAGTCATCCAGGTCCTGCAGAAGCAAAGCAGCCCCAGACCATCACACCACCACCACCATGTTTTACTGCTGGTATAATGTTCCTATGGTGGAATGCAGTGTTAGCTTTATGTTAGATATAAAGGGACCCATGTCTTCCAAAAAGTTCCACCTTTGACTCATCAGTCCACAGAATATTATTCCAAAAGTCTTGGGGTGGGGATCATCTAGATGTTTTTTTGGCAAATGCAAGACGAGCTTTTGTGTTCTTTTTGGTCAGCAGAGGTTTGCACCTTGCAACTGTCTCATTGATGCCATTTGTGCCCAGTGTCTTTCTTACTGTAGACTCGTGTACCTTGACCTTAACTGAGGCAAGTGAGGCCTGCAGTCCTTTAGATGTTTGTCTGGGTTCTTTTGTGACCTCCTGGATGAGACTTTCGATGTGCTCTTGGTGAAATTTTGGTAGGTCGGCCACTCCTGGGAGGGTTCACCACTGCCATATCTTTTGCATTTGGGCATAAAGACTATCACTGCAGTTTGTTTGAGTCCCACAATCTTAGCAATGTCTTTGTAACCCATTCCAGACTGGTAGATAGCAATGACTTCTGTATGCATCTGTATTTGAATCTCTTTAGAACGTGGCATCATGTGCTGCTTTCTGAAACTTTCTAACCTGCTTCGCACGGCCAGACAGGTTCTATTTAAGTGATGCTTAGATTTAACAGGTCTGGCAGTAATCATGCTTGAATGTGGTTAGTAAAATTGAATAGTCAACTGAATTTGGTTAACTGGTTGATTTAGTAGCTAAGGGGACATTTACTTTTTCACACAAGGCCAGGTAGGACTGAACAGCATTTTCCTTCAATAAATGAAATTAGCATTTATAAACTGCATTTTGTTTTTGTTTAGGCTATTTTTGTCTGTTATTAGTCGTAGTTTGATGATCTTAAACATTCAAGTGTAACACAGATGCAAACATAGAAGAAATTGGGAATACACACCCAAAAATATGTGGACACCTGACCATCACATCTATACAGTATGAACTATGGAAGGAGTGTATCTTATCTGCTGACACGCAATTTATCAGCCTGTGTATCAATGGAAAGAGACCACCATATGACCATTAACTCTTTAACTGACCAGGGTCCACCAACAAGTTTAATTACACACTTCTGTGACCTAAGAAAAGCTCAGCCAGGTTGCATTGATGTCTTAGTATATAACAAGCCTGGAATTTCGAGGGGTTAAGTACATTAAGTTAAATACACTATATGGCCAAAAGTATGTGGACAGCACACCTATTTGAGCTTGTTACATGTTCCATTCCAAAACCATAGATATTAATATGGAGTTGCCCCTCTTTGCAGCTATAACAGCCTCCACTCTTCGGAGAAGCTTTCTACAAGATATTGTGAATGAAATAACGCTGAACTTCACTTGTACTTTATATTGACACATTTTATTGTGTCAGACGTCCCCTTCATCACTGATAGGATGATCAATCTAATAATCTCCTCTAATGATTGATAGCAAACACTAAAGATGCTTTTATGAAGCACGCCCTAATTCATGCAGATGTATCATTGTGGAGCCAGTAAAACAACAGCATTCACTCTTGAGCCAACGATTAAGTGTTAAGATCACCACCACTGGAAGCTCCTCCTCAGGACTGTACTGAAAATATAAGAGCATTAGAACACAGATCAGACATTCACCAGATCATCTAGTCTAATCAATGATCACAGTGAAGGTAGAGCTCATCAGCTGTGAGGAGAGTGATCTGACTCAACTCTTCTTCATCTCTCTACATGATGATTCACTCATCTGCTCATTTTATTGATCTGAAGCAGTAGTGAATGAGGACGTTCTGTCTGACTGTATAAATGTGGATGTAAGCTTCTTCCCTACATGTAGTGATGAGCTAACGATTGTGTCTCTGTAGAGTTTACACAGTGCAGGTGATCAGGTCATTCTGAGTGGTGTAAAATGGCTTATTGTAGAGACTCAGATTTCTTTATGGTGTTGGTGATAGGAACCAGGAGTCATGATGTCTACAACACAAATATAGACATTTTGTGTGTTTTTTATTTACAACCCCATTTCCAAAAAAATTGGGACACAGTGCAAAATGTAAATAAAAACAAAATGCAATGAGGTGCAAATCATTTAAAGCCTATATTTAATAAATCGTACAAAGACAACATATTAACTGTTGAAACTGAGAGATTTTATTGTTTTTTGAAAAACATATGCCCGTTTGGAATTTGATGCCAACAACACTTTCCAAAAAAGTCAGGACGGGGGCAACAACAGGCTGGTAAAGTCATGAAATGCTAAAAAAAAACATGGTGGTAGTTGATTGGGTATAAAAAGAGCATTCCAGAGAGGCTGAGTCTTTCAGAACTAAGGATGAGGAGGGGCTAGTCAGACCACTCAGCTTGCTATCAGTGCACAGTTCAAGTATTCATGATGGTCTAGGGGTGCATTAGTACACATGGCATAGGTGATGTGCACATCTGTGAAGGCACCATTAATGCTGAACGATATATAAGTGCTACATAGCATTGATATTATGTCGTGATTGCATATGCTGCCATCCAGATGACGTCTTTTTCAAAGAAGGCCTTATTTATTTCAGCAAAAGTGTGTAAAATCACATTCTGCATGTATTACAACAGAATGGCTCTGTATTAAAAGCGTCCAGGTTCTAAACTGGCCTGTCTGCAGTCCAGACCTGTCATCACTGATAACATTTGGATTGTTATGAAATGAAAAATACGAAAAATGAGTCCCCAACATTGTTGAGCAGCTGAAATCCTATGTTAAGCAAGATTGGAAAAACATTTCACTTTTAAAATGGCAGCAATTGGTCTCCTCAGTTCTCAAAACACTTACAGAGTGTTGTTAAAAGAAGAGGTGATGAAACACAGTGGTAAACATGCCCCCGTCCTTTGCGAAATGGGGTTGTATTATTTGTTATTTTATATGTAATGTTGATGACAGTAAAATAGTGGTAAATTTTTTTTGCGGAGTGTTTAATGTGAGACCAGAATAGGTTAAAGCACCTGCCACAGAGGCTTCAGCAGGAGAATCTCTTTGCACACCTCTGGTAGTCATAACATCAGGAAAGCTGAGCACTTCTCTTACAGCAATGCAAATACAGGCTTCCCATCAGGCAAAATCAATCAAATAGTTCTAAGCAGATTGTGTGGGAAATCGAAGTGCCAAAGGTTAGCTTTCTCAATACTATCCTGTATTGTTAAACTGAGGTGAATATGTCTAATATTTTCTTTAGTTATTGATAATCGTACAGGACTCACACACAACTTTGCTCTGATTTGTTGGCTCCTTTTTTGAATTAATGAATCTTTTTACCTTTTTAATTTTGATAATGTTCATGTTGATAGTCAGAGAGATCTGATTCTTTAATCCTCTTCGTTGGTCCTTGATTAAAATGACATCATTGATGCTTCAAATTAAGGCTGCACAGCCCTTTTTACTGATTTATCAAAGGCCTTTGACAAAGTATTATGCGGTAATGAAATGTAGACTAATTAGTGTTCAGCTGAAGATAAAGATCTTTGCTTAGAAAAGTGTTAATCTGGTAGAACACTGTGTGTGTAAAGGTCTTTTAAAAGTTGACAAAACTAAAACAATGTTGTTTTGCAAATAGAACAAAAATACATTAGAAATGTTTACCTGTTACCATTTTATAGAAAACTAGGTTTGAAAGTGTTTCTACTTACGAATGATGAGTTTTGTTGCAAAATGCATAATAGGTCACTTTCAAGAATTCTCTTTCTTCCATGATATATATTCTTTGGAGCTTTACATATACAAGAAATATACTGTGCTATACTATGATCAGTGTTGGGGTTGTGACTCAAAAAAGTCGTCCATTACTGATTACTCATTACTTAACTAAAATTGTAATGGGATTACTTTACTCATTACTTTCTGGAAAATGTCATTTCAAACCACTTTACTTTTAAATTATCACACCACAACACGTTTTTACTGTGCATCACTCCACTGCAGATGAACCCAGAGAAGTTGGCAGCATTTCTTGACAATGTTGACACATGACTTCCATTGAGCATAGTACACTCTCAGCTTACATTTGTAGATGCAGTGACGAACAGTGTTCATTGATAATGGCAAGTATTCCCAAACCTATGAGGCAATGTCCATCTCAGAAGCATGCTGGTTTTTAATGAAGTGCTGTCTGAGGAATCAAAGTTCATGGACAATCATGTATTTACAAGTATATTTATTCATATTATATGTAATATTTATATTTACAACAATAGTATATTTACAAAAATGAAGCAGTAAATATTGTGTCTAAGGACATGACAAAGCAAATTATAAATCAATGCTTTCTGTTTTTATTTACATGTACAATGCAGTAAGAAATAAGTAATAAATACATTGCAGTGCATTAAGCATCTAAGTAAAAAAAAAAGAAATTTTCCATATCAACCAAATACAGTAGTTATATATATATATATATATATATATATATATATATATATATATATATAAATACATTTACATATATGCAGATAGTGTGATGAAGAAGGTTCTTTGCATTGTTGTTGATGGAAGCTCAAAACGTGGAGCATGCAGTAAATTTAAGATTCTACATTTAAAGAAAAAAATGCTTAAGCATGAATGTTGATAGGGCTTTCAGGTTTTAAGCTTAGTCTTCCATTCTGGACTACTTCTTTATTTTTTTCTGCTAACACTTCTTATTCACATATTTATTAAGTGTTTACGAAGCAGTAGTTAATACTTAATAAATGTAACAAGTACATATTTTAGTTCGTTATTAGTTTATTACTTATTTTTTCATGAAGTGTGTATCAGCTGTTTCTAATTGCACTGCTGATGAACTGATACTTGTGTTTACTCATAGAAATAAGAAACTAACTAATGTGTATATGTTAGTTCTGTTAATTATCTGTTAAGGAATCTATTGTGATACATTTTTCCTCCACTGTGGAGTCTTGTGGGGGAAACAGTCTCTTGGCTTTACCGGACACTTTCCTTCACCTCCACAAGTTCAGCTGCCTCACTATCCTCAGAGTTGTGTTCACATTTTCGCCATTAATGGCTCCTTACTTCATACTATATAACCCTTATTACTACTTTATGTGCCCCCCCAAGTAAAGCAATTATCTTTGATACTAATATATTAACAATACTAGTCATGATTAATTGCAGCCTATATGCACTTCACTGTGAATTACAGTAGGAACTTTGGTGACCCAAATCTGAAAGTGCGTAAGAGATATCAGACAGCCAAATATGGCATTTGAGAGATAGCATGCGTGATGGCATCTTCTTCAGAAACATGTATAGTCATCGCTGATATATGGACATACTGACAGTATCTGTTATACCATTTTCATATTATCCTAAAATCTAAGGTGCCAAAATGATCCTTTTAAAGCAAAACCATGAAAACCCACTCTTGGATCCCTAAACAAACTGTCATTGGAGAAGATGTGCAGAGCTGCCATTGGGCTCTGAGCATTTAAGGGGTTAATGCTAATGATAGTTAACTAATATATAGATAATGAGTATGATATTACTTATAGTAAATAATTCTCAATTAATTTGCAACCCTTGATATTAAGTGTTGTCCATTTTTTCCTCTAGAAATCAAGCCTCATTGATCTAATGTATCTGTCACCAACAGTAAGCCATTACAAGCCTTTACAGTTTAGCTTCACGCATAGTCCTCCTCGTGAAATGGAATCATTTTGTACCTACAGTTAAAGCACACTTTGGTTTTTGAGACACTTTTGCAGGTGTGAAAGTTTTTTTAGTGTTTTTTGTGTTAAATAAAGAAGAAAGATGTTGTTTTCCTTTCAACTGTTTAAACATAAACACTTAAACTTAAACATTCCTCAGTAGTTTCACCAGCTGTCTCTTCGACTCTGTCCTGGCCCTTCCCCTCCTCCTCCTCCTCAATTGCATTCTCAATGTTGGACAGAACCGCATGACAATGCCTCTTAAAGTCCCTCCCCATGAACGCATAAAGAAGGGGGTTCAAACAGCTGTTGGCATTGGCAAAAGTGAGGCCAAATACTTTTAGGGATTTGACAAAATGTTTGTCATTATAATGTATTTTCAAAAAAGAATAAAGATGAAAAGGCAACCAGCAGATCAAGAAAGCAACTATCAGCAGCGTCATGATCTTGAATGGCTTTTTGGATGTCACCATCTGGTTGAACTTCAGCTTTCTCATGATGATGACATAACAGATGACAATGATCAGGAACGGGATCACGAATCCAAAAATGAATCTGCAAGACACTATGGCAAAATGGCTTGGCTCATTTATGTAAGTTCTTTGACATTTTGTCTTCTGTTTGTTCTGTTTTGTGTCTCGGAAAATGGCCGCTGGTGAGCTAAGTGCTGCTGAGACGATCCAAGCTAGCATGACTATCACGACAGCCTTTCTTATGGTGCGCTTGTTCCGAGCCCACACAGGAAACATAACAACCACACAGCGGTCCACACTGATGATGATGAGGAGGAAAATGCTGCTGTACATGTTGAGAACCTTGATGAAATACCGGAATTTACACATGAAGCGTCCAAAGATCCACTCATTTGTAACCTTTTGGACGACACCAAAGGGCAAGGTAGAGCACATTATGAAGTCGGACACGGCCAGACTCAGGTACCAGGTGGTGATGACAGACTTCTTCATCTTAAAGCCTGCAATCCAGATCACTAAACCATTTCCAGCAACACCCAGGATGAAGATGATCACATTCGCCACTGAGTAGAACATACACAGATCTGTGCATGATGAAGAACTCATATTCAGACTTGTGTGGTTTTTAAAGTCAGGATATTCTGCCGCTGTCACTGAAGTAGAAGTAATGATACCTCTTGATTCTGTAAAGCAGACACAAACAGGCTTGTTGCTGACTTTTGTAGCATACATTTCAGGTCAGTCATGAAAACACTAGTGCTGTAGAAGCAGGTCAGATTCAATGCAAAAATTACCTGGACCCAGGATTGGATTTTGGCCCTATGGCTCAGAAAGACTCAAGACCTTCCACAAGCCCAAAGTAATTTGTCTTAGCCTAAGACATTCTGATTGCATTGATTGTATTATACAGTCAGATAGGATTGCTATGATAATCTTGCCAATAAGGGGAAAAGCCCTAATATACCTTCAAAAAATAAACATATTTATCAAAAGGAATTTTTGGTTTTAGTTATGTATCTTATAAAGAAATGAAACATTAATCTATCTTCTAAGCAAACAGGATGTATATGATTTATTTAAAAAAAAAATAAGAGAAAAGTAAAAGAAAAAGAATGTCTGTTTACAGAAATTACATCTTGTACTACTATTGCAGTATAACTATATTTTTTGTATTTTTACTGACAGTAGTATATATATATATATATATATATATATATATATATATATATATATATATATATGTATATTGCCAAAAGTATCCGCTCGTCTTCCTTCACACACATATGAACTTGACTTGTTGGCTCACCCTTTGCAACTATAACAGCTTCAACTCTTCTGGGAAGGCTTTTCACAATATTTAGGAGAGTGTTTATGGCAACTTTTGACCATTCTTCCAGAAGCAAATTTATGAGGTCAGACACTGATGTTGGACGAGAAGGCCTGGCTCACAGTCTCCGCTCTAATTCATCCCAAAGGTGTTCTATCGGGTTGAGGTGAGGACTCTGTGGGGGCCCGTCAAGTTCTTCCACACCAAACTCGCTCACCCTTGTCTTTATGGACCTTGCTTTGTGCACTGGTGCAGTCATGTTGGAACAAGAAGGGGCCATCCCCAAACTGTTCCCACAAAGTGGGGAGCATGAAATCGTCCAAAATCTCTTGGTATGCTTTAAGAGCATTAAGAGTTCATTGCATTGCCAGAGGGAGAAGTGTGATTCGTCACTCCAGAGAACATGTCTCCACTGCTCTAGAGTCCAGTGGTGGCGCTTTGCACCACTGCATTTGACGCTTTGCATTGCGCTTGCTGATTTAAGGCTTGGATGCAGCTGCATAATAACATTGATCAGAGAATCTAGAGAAATCTCTGTTTGTAAGAATCAAGGCCAAAAATGATTATTTGCTGGCTGTGATCTTCGGGCCCTCAGACAGCACTGCATAAAATCAGACATGGTTCTGTAGTGGAAATCACTGCATGGGATCAGGAACACTTCTGAAAAAACAGTTCATCGCTGCATCCACAAATGCAAAAAATGTTTTAAAAAAACTCTTAAATCTCTAAAACGCAAAGAAGAAACAATATATAAACAAGATCCAGAAATGCTGCCACCTTCTCTGGGCCTGAGCTCATTTAAAATGGACTGAGGGGAAGTGGAAAAGTGTCCTGTGGTCCGACAATTTGAAATTGTTTTGGAAATCATGGACACTGTGTTCTCCAGGCTAAAGACCACTCAGCTTGTTATCAGTTCACAGTTCAAAAGTCAGTATTCATAATGGGTTAGGGGAGCATTAGTGCACATGGTGTGAGTGACATGCACATCTGTGAAGTCACTATTAATGCTAAACAATATAACATGTTTTGGCAACACATGCTGCCGTCCTGATGACGTCTTTTTCAGGGAAGGCCTTGCTTATTTCAGCAAAACAATGCCAAACCACATTCTGCATCTATCACAACAGCATGACTCTGTATTAAAAGAGTCCAGATGCTAAACTGGCCTGCCTGCAGCTCAGACCTGTCAGCCACTGATAACATTTGGTGCATTATGAAATGAAAAATACCACAAATGAGACCCCGAACTGTTGAGCATCAGAAATCCTATATCAAGCAAGAATGTGAAAACCCTTACAGAGTGTTGTTAAAAGAAGAGGTCATGAAACACAGTGGTACACATGCCCCCATCACAACTTTTTTGGAACTTGTTATAGGCATCAAATTCAAAATGGGCATGAATTTTTAAAAACAATGCAATTTCTCAGATTCAACATGTGATATGTTGTCTTTGTAGTATTTTCCTTTACAAATATGGTTTATATGATTTGCATATTATTACATTCTATTTTTATTTACATTCTCAACAGCATCCCAACTTTTTTGGAAATGGGGTTGTAAACCGAGATGTTCTACATAAGATGCTTTGCCAAAAGGGAGCATTTTAAGAAGTGACTGAGATGAATGTGAACTTTCGGCATACATTTTAGAACTGCAGGCTCATCCAAATCATTTGAGAAATATGGCTAAAGCTCTGCCTTTTCTATCTCAAAACGACACAGACAAACTTGTTTATGAATTGTTACAAGCAGAATTGATCACTGTAATGCTCTTCTTACTGGGGTCCTAGCAATACACATAAGGCGCCGACCCCTGGACAGCACATGGAGTATACTTTACATCCACGAAGCCCTAGAACAGGGCTTTATTAGACTCTCGACTTCTCCTGTAGCGTCTAGTTTCTTCTTTATTAAAAAGAAAGACGATGGATTATGCCCCTGTATAGACAATCGTGCCCTTAACCAAATGACCAAAACTTACCCTTATCCTCTTCCTCTAGTCCCTGTAGCTTTGGAACAATTAAAAGGATCAAAGTACTTTACTAAACTCGATCTCAGGAGTGCATACAATTTAATCAGAATCAAGGAAGGGGACGAATGGAACACTGCTTTCATGAACACTAGGGGGCACTATGAATACTTGGTAATGCCTTTCGGCCTCTCTATCACACTCTGTCATTCAAGCTTTTATTAACAAAGTACTCCGAGACATGCTAGGGAGATTTGTAATCGCATATTTAGACAATATTCTTGTGTACTCCCCTGACAAAGAATCCCATGTTCAGCATGTTCATGAAACCTTTTTTTTACTGGATAACAATTTGTTTTTGAAGGGTCAAAAGTTCCACTTACAATCTGTGTCATTTTTAGAGTATGTCATTAGTGCATGAAGAGTAGTCACGGACGATCAGAAAGTCGAGGCAGTTATTCAGTGGCCCACTCCCTCATCAGTTAAAGAGCTGAAGAGATTCTTAGGTTGCGCAAATTTCTACCGCCGATTCATATAAAATCTCAGAAGTATTGCGGCCCATCTAACGTCTCTACTTAAAGGTGGTCCCAAAAAATTTAAATGGACAGAGCAGGTAGACTTTGCTTTTCAGAGGTTATAAGAAGCCTTCACCACGGCCCACATTCTCAAACACCCAGACCCTTCAGAACCTTTTGTCGTCAAGGTAGATGCTTCTGAAACCGGAATAGGAGCGGTTTTATCCCAACGCTCAGGCTCCCCTCTGAAAGTACAACCCATGGCATTCTATTCCCATAAGTTGTCTCCAGCAGAGAGAAACTATGGCATAGGTGACAGAGAATTACTGGCTGTAAAATTAATGTTAGAAGAATGACAACACTGGCTCAAAGGAGCTACGCATCACAGATCACAAAAACCTAGAGTACCTTTGCAATGCAAAATGCCTAAATGCCCATCAAGCTAGATAGCTAGTCCCTATTCTTCTCACATTTTAAGTTCAGTATAACCTATAGGCCAGGCTCCAGAAATACAAAGGCAGATGCTTTATCCTGACTATACCAAAAAGACAGTTTATCACCTGAATCAGATAATTCTGAGCGCATCCTGCCTCCTGAAGTTTCTATATCTCACCTCTGGGTATCACCTCTGGGTATCACCCCAATCGAATGGGCAATGCGAAAGGATGAACCAGGAACTAGGTAAATTTCTTGGAATATTTTGCCACAAAAACCCCACTGACTGGTCTCGCTTCTTATCCTGGACAGAATTCACTCACCGGTTCCACTATAGGACTGATACCTTTTCAGTGTATTTTGGGATACCAACCACCTTTAGCGCCCTGGACTGGTGCATCCACCAATGTGCTTGCAGTGGACGAATGGATGCAAAGGAGTGAAAAGGTATGGGTAGACACACATCAGCGCATTGAACAGTATTAGAAAGGAACAAGGAGCAAGCTGGCAGGCACCGGAGTGAAACCCCTGTATTCCAGCCCAGAGACTGTGTGTGGTTGGCCACCAAGAACTTCTGTAATATCGAGAGAAAATACCAGCCCAAATACATTGGGCCTTTCAAAATAGTGAAAAATAATAATGATGTCACCTATAGATTAGACTTATCCCCATGTTTTTGAGTCTCACCTTCTTTTTATGTGTCTCTTCTTAAACCCGTTATTGCAGGGACATTGGACGAGGCTATGCCAGACATCATGCCACTCCCAACCGGAGGAGATAGATGGGGCTCCAGTCTACACTGTCCGTTGGCTGCTGGACTCCCAGAGATGCGGAGGACTCCTTCAGTACCTGGTGGACTGGGAGGGATATGGACCGGAGAAGCAGTGTTGGATACCTGCGAGAGACATCTCGGACCCAGGTCTTATAGCGGACCTCTTACAGCCAACACCCTGACAAGCCTGCTCCTCGTCCCGGGGTCGCCCGCATAAGGGCCTCCCTAGCTCTCTCCATGTTCATCAGCGGGATCCGCGTGAACGAGGCCACCCCGGACTCTTTGGGGGGGGGTACTATCATGCATCCACTGAGTCCTAGCAAGGATCTGGACTCGATCTCCCAGAGCCCTCTGGGAGATCACATGACTTCCACACTTCCCTTGAACTCAGAGACTTACACGGAATCCTCTGGGAGATCACCTGGCTCCTGACCTTTCCTCACGCTCCTATCAGCGCTCTAGATCACCGGAATACTCATGCGTGTCACCTGTGTTGTTGGTCATATGACTTTCTTAGTTTAGTTTATAAGCCTGGGCTTTAGTCTTAGAAGGTTGCAAGGTATTGTATCCGTTTGCGATGTACTAAGCGTTGTATCTATTGTTTGTATTCAGTGTCTGTTCATTATTT